AAAAAAAAAAAAAAAACCTCTAATATCCAGTTATCTTCAGTTTGTTTTCTGTGCTCTCTGTACTCCTGAGGACTTTTGCAGGCCTCCCCGTGTTAAATTGATTTCCAGAATTGCTGCTAATTTATCTTAGTGTTGAGGTCCTGAGTTGTGGTTAAGATGAAATTGGAATAGATGGTTGGGATGGCTCACACCAGAACATACCCTTTTCTCCATTCCAGAAATAGCCACTCTTATTTCATTCTAGTGAGTCAGTTCTTTTGCTGTAAGCTCTTTGCAGTAATGTCCACAAGAGGCAGAAATGCAGGGGAAACGGGTCGCCAGAGTAAATTTCCATGGCCTGCAAGGAGTCCATTGATGACAGCTGCTTCATCCCTGCCCATTGCCCAGCTTTCTCTTCAGGGCCCAGCTGCTTGGGCAGAGTATGTGGAAGAAAGGACAGTAATGCCTTGTGGCTTTTAAACTGTGACATCTGCTACTTCTCTTCTGATTTTCTGAAATGGGGGTGGGAGTGGTGGGGAAGCAGCAGGCTACTTCTTTCCCCGCCCCCATTCGGTTCTTGTAAAAATATCAGATAACAGCTGGTATCCTCAATTTGGCCCAGATTTCTCTGAGAGGCAAAGAAGACCATTTTCCAAAACTACACAGCACCATTTTTGTCTGTTTGTTCTTTGTATGTTTTTTTTCCTCTTATTTTCACTGAGACATGTTTTGTATTCTTAGGCAACATCTTGAGCCAGTTTTTTCTTCATGTTTGCTGCTTCAAGTACCTTTTGGAAGCTCCATTTAAACCATTCCATTCTCTGGGATACCATTCCATAAATTAGCCTTTTTACCCTTCTTGCCGTCCATCCCGGCGGTGGCTGTTGGGCTAAACTTACATAAACACTACTCTCCTCATGTTGCTTCTCACTCAAACTTCTCTTGTATTTCCCTACTCTTGTATCATATCATTTGAGTCAACTTTGGAGTGGACCCAGTATTACTACTACTTTGTGTGGTAGTCAGCCTGGCTCTTCCCTGGCAAGCTGATCTTTTCAGGCTCTGCACATAATGCCCCTGTAGGTCTCGCTTCCTGGCATACCTTTTCACACTGCTTTAGTTGAATAGAATTTATGGGAGCCCATCTGAAGTTCTTCCTTCAGCCGCTACTCCCAATAAGAGAGTTGAGACCTTAGTGCTCAAAGAGTTTGGGAAAGACCAGGCTCTTAAAACTCTTCTATTTAATGTGGCAAAACTCTTTCCCTTTAGAAAGCTGCAGTAGACTAATTAGTACATACATCATATGTGAGTATTCAGATGTCTGTGTGCTCCTCAAGTTGTCTTCCAAGCCACCTAGCATTTAGTGTGCATTTGGTAGAATTCCTAGGAATTGGAATATTGAAACAGCGAATCCAAGTGCTGTGAAAGGTGGTTTATTTAGCAGTTTCTCCTGGGGCTTCCTAATAGCATTAGCCCAGTAGGGTTTTGTGCAATAGATGGATGGTGTGTTGAATAAATGACAGATGTTCAGTATTTCTGCAGTGAGTGAAGCAGAGTCCCTCAGGTGCTGCGAAATCCTAAAGCAGTTATTCCTAAAGTTGGTTGCATCAGAATGACCAGGAGAAGTGAGTTAGAAATGCAGGTTCTTGGGCCCACTTCAGAACTACTGGATCAGTGACCAGAGGTGAGATGTAGGAATCTGCTTTTTAATATGCTTTCCAGTTAGTTCATGATAGCAAGTCTAAGACCTAGCACATAGGAGCACCAAAACATACCTTTTCTGAATAGGTGGGTTCTCTATTTGGCATTTGTGCATGCAAAGTTCAGTTTGTTTTCATCTTTTACCTTGATAATCTTGTGAATAATTCTTAGCATGCTGAATGATAGTTCAGCATTCAGAGTATAAAAAGTAGTTCATATCATCTTCACTTTTTAAAAAAGTATGGTTTAGAAATTAGAAAAACTTAGTATGTTCACCTTATGTTAGAAAGATATTTATTATAAATAGCATTCATAGGTTAAAGTTCCAAAGTGGTTATTGTCTTCTCCTAAGGATCCCATTTTTCCCTGATTAGGTCGATGTTTTGGCAGCTTACCTTGCTGGTGATGTCACACCATCTCTGAGCTACACGGGAGGCAGTCATGCTAAAGCCTGCCCACATTGTCCCCGATACTGAGATGGTAAATACAGTGTAAAGAATACGAGATGTTCTTAACTTCTTGTATCAGGGAGGGTAGTGAAAAGGTAGTATATGCACAATTCAGGTGTGGGGGTTGGGAATCTCCTCATGACAGTGTCAAAAACTGTATACTGGTGGGGGAATCTCATCAAGAGCCCACTGGTCCCCATGGGAACCCTTCGTTTTGTGGTCATGTTCTTTGCTTATTTTGTTTTTAGGGGTCTCAAGTACTGATAAAATCTAAATTGGTATATGAAACATGTATGGCTTCAAGCTAATAACTCCTTCCTGCCCCCCAAGGCAAAGTGTATTTTTTGCCTAGGTTAATGGTATAAGACTTAAATTCATAATTAGCGGAGTAAAATATTGAATATTTCCAAAAAATCTTATATGCTCCCTTCCCCCTCCCTCCCATCAAGTACCGTGAATAGGTAATGGAAGTCTTTCCTCCCAGCATCACTCCCAACTTCTCCCCCTCTTCTATAAGGAGTGTAGGAATCTTTGTTATTCCCAAAAGTGGGTTTGTTTTATCTGAAAGTGGGAGGTTTTATCTCAAGGAATAGAAATTTTTTTGTTATTACTGATAGGTACCCCGAGAAATTCATGGCTTCTCTGCCCCACTGAAGAAAAAAAATCCCTATTTGGAAATACTACCAGCATGGAAAAACTGCCTAAATTTGGTTTCGATTAAACAGATTTTTTTTTTTAAATCATTCAGACATAAACCAGCCTAAATTTCACCTTTGCTTAAAAGTTAATTGATACATGTTGATGTGAAATTTCTCATATTAAAGTAACCAAACTATTTAAGATCATCTGGAAAAACTGTTATAAAAATTGGAATACTAATTAAAAATAGTGTCTATTTCTTAAAGTGTTCAGTTTGTTAGAGAACAATTAAGTAAAGCTAATAAACCGTTATTCTGAGCCATTGTGTTGCTTTAAATTATTTGTT